GACTAGCCCGTGTCCGATCATCACGTGAGACGGACTAGTCATCGTCGGTGAACATTTTCATGTTGATCGTATCTTCCATACGACTCGTGTTCGACCTTTCGGTCTCCGTGTTCCGAGGCCATGTCTGCACATGCTAGGCTCGTCAAGTTAACCCTAAGTGTTTTCGCTGTGTAAATCTGTCTTACACCCGTTGTATGTGAACGTAAGAATCCATCACACCCGATCATCACGTGGTGCTTAGAAACGACGAACTGTAGCAACGGTGCACAGTTAGGGGAGAACACTTCTTGAAATTTTATAAGGGATCATCTTATTTACTACCGTCGTCCTAAGTAAACAAGATGCAAAATTCATAATAAACATCACATGCAATTATATAGTTGTGACATGATATGGCCAATATCATATAGCTCCATTGATCTTCATCTTCGGGGCTTCATGATCATCTTGTCACCGGCTTGACACCATGATCTCCATCATCATGATCTCCATCATCGTGTCTTCATGAAGTTGTCACGCCAACGACTACTTCTACTTCTATGACTAACGTTTAGCAATAAAGTAAAGTAGTTTACATGACGTTATTCAATGACACGCAGGTCATACAAAAAAATAATGACAACTCCTATGGCTCCTGCCGGTTGTCATACTCATCGACATGCAAGTCGTGAATCTTATTACAAAGAACATGATCTCATACATCACAATTCATCATTCATCACAACTTCTGGCCATATCACATCACATGATCAATCGCTGCAAAAACAAGTTAGACGTCCTCTAATTGTTGTTGCATCTTTTACGTGGCTGCAATTGGGTTCTAGCAAGAATGTTTTCTTACCTACGAATCACCACAACGTAATTTTGTCAACTTCTATTTACCCTTCATAAGGGCCCTGTTCATCGATTCCGCTCCAACTAAGGTGGGAGAGACAGACACCCGCCAGCCACCTTATGCAACTAGTGCATGTCAGTCGGTGGAACCGGTCTCACGTAAGAGTACGTGTAAGGTTGGTCCGGGCCGCTTCATCCCACAATACCGTTGAGCAAGAAAAGACTAGTAGAGGCAAGTAAGATGACAAAATCCACGCCCACAACAAAGTTGTGTTCTACTCGTGCAAAGAGAACTACGCATAGACCTAGCTCATGATGCCACTGTTGGGGAACGTTGTAGAAAATTAAAATTTTTCCTACGGTTTCACCAAGATCCATCTATGAGTTCATCTAAACAATGAGTCTAGGGAGAGAGTTTGCATCTACATACCACTTGTAGACCGCGTGCGGAAGCTTGCAAGGTGATGATGTAGTCATACTCGACGTGATCCAAATCACCGATGACCAGCGCCGAACGGACGGCACCTCCGCGTTCAACACACGTACGGGACGGGAGACGTCTCCTCCTTCTTGATCCAGCAAGGGGGAAGGAGAGGTTGATGAAGATCCAGCAGCACGACGGCGTGGTGGTGGATGCAGGGCGTCACAGCAGCAGGGCTTCGCCGAGACTACGAGGGAGAGACGTAACGGGGGGAGGTGGAGGCGCCAGGGGCTGGTGTATGAAGTCCCTCCTCTCCCCCACTATATATAGGGGTGCCAAGGGGGGGGCGCCAGCCCTAGTAGATGAGATCTACTAGGGGGGGCGGCGGCCTAGGGGAGGTTTCCCTCCCCCCCAAGGCACCTAGGGGTGCCTTCCACCACTAGGACTCCTCCTAGGGGGAAACCCTAGGCGCATGGGCCTATAGGGGCTGGTGCCCTTGGCCCATGATGGCCAAGGCGCACCCCCTACAGCCCATGTGGCCCCCCGGGACAGGTGGCCCCACCCGGTGGACCCCTGGGACCCTTCCGGTGGTCCCGGTACAATACCGATAACCCCGAAACTTGTCCCGATGCCCGAAATAGCACTTCCTATATATAATTCTTTACCTCCGGACCATTCCGGAACTCCTCGTGACGTCCGGGATCTCATCCGGGACTCCGAACAACATTCGGGTTTCTGCATATACATATCTTCATAACCCTAGCGTCACCGAACCTTAAGTGTGTAGACCCTACGGGTTCGGGAGACATGCAGACATGACCGAGACGCTCTCAGTCAATAACCATCAGCGGGATCTGGATACCCATGATGGCTCCCACATGCTCCTCGATGTTGTCATCGGATGAACCACGATGTCGAGGATTCGATCAAACCCTGTATGCAATTCCCTTTGTCAATCGGTACGTTACTTGCCCGAGACTCGATCGTCGGTATCCCAATACCTTGTTCAGTCTCGTTACCGGCAAGTCACTTTACTCGTACCATAATGCATGATCCCGTGTCCAACACCTTGGTCACATTGAGCTCAATATGATGATGCATTACCGAGTGGGCCCAGAGATACCTCTCCGTCATACGGAGTGACAAATCCCAGTCTCGATCCGTGTCAACCCAACAGCTACTTTCGGAGATACTTGTAATGCACCTTTATAGCCACCCAGTTACGTTGTGACGTTTGATACACCCAAGGCACTCTTACGGTATCCGGGAGTTACACGATCTCATGGTCGAAGGAAGAGATACTTGACACTTGCAAAGCTCTAGCAAAATGAACTACACGATCTTTTATGCTATGCTTAGGATTGGGTCTTGTCCATCACATCATTCTCCTAATGATGTGATCCCGTTATCAACGACATCCAATGTCCATAGTCAGGAAACCATGACTATCTGTTGATCACAACGAGCTGGTCAACTAGAGGCTTACCAGGGACATAGTGTGGTCTAAGTATTCACACGTGTATTACGATTTCCGGATAATACAGTTATAGCATGAATAAAAGACAATTATCATGAACAATGAAATATAATAATACTTTTATTATTGCCTCTAGGGCATATTTCCAACAGTAATTTCTCCATAGCTTGTATTTAGTGTAGTAAAAAAATTCTTTAAAAATAAATAATCTTATGTAAATGTTTCTATTAATGGACAACCCTGGCGTATTGGGCTGGCTACGCCACTAGAGGAGTGGGACGCGGTAGTGATTGATGGTCGGACTTAGCGGAGGCATGGGGATGGACGATGTCGGCAGCGGCCACCATGCCAGATTGTTCCAGAGGCTTCCTTTTTTATTTACTCAACAATGAAGTTGTGGGAGATAAGGATGAACGAGAGAGGAGTGGGTATCCTTTTGCAAAATTGCCATAGTTTCTTTCTATCCGTCAGATATAGATCGGACGATCTATATTGTAAGATGGCAGGCACACCATCATCACCAACTCGGTTTTTTTATAACAGTAGAGATATTTTTTTGGAAGAAATACATATGCATGTTCTTCAAGTATGTACAAAATTTTAGCAAATTTGATTATTTGCATAGTGCATAAAAAGGATAAATATCAGTCCCAAAAACAAAAAAGAAAAGGCATATTTCAATTCATGCATTTATCTTTTTGTGTGCATCACTTTTTTTAGAAAAACATCCAATCTATTCATTATCAATTATGATATTACAATGAATACCCGAAATAAAAAAATACATCCAGATCCGTACAGCACCTAGTGACGACTACAATCATTGAAGCAAGCTGAAGGCGCGCCGCCTTCATCATCCCTCCTTCCCTGAACTCGGGCAAGACTTGTTGTAGTAAACAGTCGAAAAGTCATTGTGCTAATACCCTATAGGACCAGCGCATGACAACAAAAAACCGCTGTCATTGAAGAGAAGCTTATATCAGAATGATCCAATCTGTAGCCACCTGACCCCACGAACAAAGACCGGATCCACGCGGATCCACTGAAGACAAACACCGACCGAATCCCACGAGATCTGTCGGAGACAAACCTCCACACGCCTTCTGATGACGCTAGAAGCACCACCGAGATGGAGCTAGGCGTAAAGAATCTTACTCCATCTTCAGAGAACTGCGCCGCTTTATTTCTCTGAGTAGGACACAGAACAGAAGAGAAAACTCAAAAAAGCATATAGAAACGAAGCCCTCCCAATGTACATCACATATTAACACACTCTATATGTTTATAAAATTTTATACATGTATACTACAATCATATATCTATGTGTATACTTTTTTCAGATTTTTTTTTGGATGTGAAAAAAGTTTTTTTTTTCTTTGAAGGAAAAATAAAGAGCTCCATGGAGCTCGGTTGCTGTTTGCACTTTTCAATATCCCGTCCCTTTCTTCTCTAGTACTCATCCAGCTCAATCTTTTTTTTTTTTGGTAAATTACCGATCCAGCTCATTCTAGTTTCGAACGAAGTGAGAAGAGTTGTAGCACTTCATTCTAGCAATGCTCGTATTGCTTTAACTCGTCCTATTTTTTAACTAATAACAGAACACGATATAGATAACAACTAGTCATCTTATTTCGCCAGCCAACGCGCACAGAGTGGCGCTCAACCAGACGCCGAGCGAACCCCGCCACTTATGCAATCCCCCAGGCACAAACAAGCTCTTAGCCAAAAAGGGCCTGGATAGACCGGGATCAGAGAGAATAGGGTGCTAATTTCAGGGATTTGAAGGTTAAGGTTTGATTCAAACTGAGAGTACAAATTCAAGGTTTATTTTAGACTTTTCTCTTTCCTGTAGTGACTTCACGGGGATGACTGGCCGTGACCCGTGAGAGAGCCGGGATTCAAGTAGTTTTGTTTGTCCGTTGCATCCTTGCATGGACCGGTGAGGAGCCGGGGCAGCGCTGCATTTGGCGTAGACGACGGGCCATGCGCGTCTCCATCCATCAGCCGGCCGCACTGTCTCTCTCCCTCGCTGAAAACTTCAAGGCGCGCCATTTCATCGGTTTCTCCATCCGCGCTTGTCCATTTCATTTCACGGGTCATGCGATGCGTATGCCGCGCGACTTCGCTCCATTTATCGGCGTCACGCCTCCACACGCGCCGGCCTCCGCTCCCCGTCTACTTCACTCGTCGTGTGTGAGCAGCCCTTGCATTCGCCTATTTCCTGTTACACGACGGACGACCGTCTTGCGAGCGGGAGAGGCTACGACGATGAGCACCGGGAAGGCGCCCGCGCTCTACCACGTCCGCGCCCGATCGCTTACGAGCAAGCTGCTCGACCTCGACTCCTCGCCGGCGTGCCCCTCCCCGCCGCCGTTCCGGTCCCGCTCCCACGCCTCCGTGCCGTTTCTCTGGGAGGACGCGCCGGGGAAACCCAAGCTGCGTGCACCCCGGCCGACCGCTCTCTTGCTCCCTTCCGCGAGCCCAGCCCCGGTTCTTGCTGACGGCGGCGCGACTGCCGCCAGAGTGGCCGGCGGTCACGAGGACGGTGCCCCTGCCCATGCGCGCCCCGTGCTGCTCAAGCTGAAGCTGCCGCCGCGGCTGCAAGCGGCGGAGCACCCGCTCTCCTCCCCCAAGACCGTGCTCCAGGGCCCCTACTTCGGCGGCGGCGGAAACAAGCCGCCGAGGCCGCTTAGGAGGATCGCGAGGACGGCGAGCTGCCAGATGAATCTGCGCGCCGGCGGGGGTCTCTTTGTTTGGAGGAAGGGCGCGGCAACGGCAACGGCATCAGCGGGCAGCAAGGAGGGCGGCCACTGTCAGCTCTACGCCGTGGCGCCGGACGCGTCGTGCTGTTCGCCGGCGGCGTCGTCGGCGTCCTCGTCGTCGTCGTCGTCGATGTCCTACTTCTTTGATGACCACAGCCGCAGGCAGGCCGACGGGCGCGAGGACTCGGAGGATGGCGAGGCAGGCGCCGACGGCGGCAAGGGGTCGGTGAGGATCACCAGGTTCAGGAGGAACCGAAGCCTTCCCACTATGTCCAGATCGCATCTCTGGGTGAGTTCTCCTTTTCTCTTCTCTCTGCTCTGTTTCTTCCTAGGACAGAGTTTGCACTCCTCTACTGTAGATCTTTCGGTTGTACTCCTTCCGTCCCGAATTACTCGTCGTAGAAATGGATAGATATGAGAGGGACAACAAGTAAAATGGTTTTAAGCAAACTACTTTTACGCATGATACCAACATCTGCCCATCCCCTGTTGGTGTTTTAGTCGGTCTCTCGAGCTATCTGCTGCACTGAAAATACACAAATTTCTCAAGAATCTAGAAGAATAGAAGTCCACACATGGCTGAAGTTAAAGTAAATTTGGTGCACACCCGTTCTTATCAGTTGTTTCACATCACATACGCATGCAAATACAATAATGCAAAAAAATGTTTCTGCTGGCATGCAAATACAATAATGCAAAAAAATGTTTCTGCTGGCAGGCCAACATCCGCAAGGGCGTCAAGCAGATTAGTCCATGGAGCTACAAGCCTACATAGAGGGAGTATCACCGTACGCCTGACAGATAAAGTGTGGCTAAAAGTGCAGCTGCTTTATGCGCCGCAATATGTTGCCAATTTAATGCAACAAAGGTAGCAACCATGTATGCGCTTTATATGGATAATGACGATGTACCTGTTGCAAATTTAACGCAATAAAGGTAGCAATGTTTTATGTGCGGTTGCAGTTAATGATATCAGAGCAAGGCTAATAGTGTATTGATGTAGGATTTTTATCGTTACTTGTATTCGGCGTTAAATGGATTTTTATCGCAAATAGAGGGATACAACGTCAATTTAAGGTCATGCCAAAGATACGTCAAGCTTTGCTTTCATATGGGTAGAGGCTTTGCTGCCATCCCTTTATTATGATGGAATGTTTTGCTTCTATGGTTGGCTAAATGTCAAGCTTTGCTTTCTTATGGCTGGATGCCAAGTATATGTGATGTTGAGGGAATAGCTAAAGTTTTGTATTGGATCCCTCCCGAGTCCTACAAGGCATCCATTGGATGGTCAACAAAAGGCAAAAGAAGTGGTGGTCAATGCAAGTCCAAGCAAGCTACCGCGGGTCCAGGAAAACCACCCGGTCAACAAAAGTCCAAACAAGTAAAAACCGAAAGAGAGAATAAAAGACCAAGTCAAAATAGGAAGAGCGAATAAAAGACCATCGCAAAACGGGAAGATATAAAAGAACAAGTGAAAGCTGAAGGCAAAGAAGCAAAGAAGACCAAGCCCAAGAAGAAAACATTGATATGATGGAAAAATTACCCCCATGGGCCACAATTCCCCCTAGCCCAACTGGGAAGTTACAGTCTCATGGACTAAAAGATTACCGCCTTCTACCCTCCCACATATTCATCATGAGGATAGATTTGATCATTTGTTAAGCAGCCCTAGGTAATAAAGAGCTCCCCATAGGCATACCATTCACTATCACTTGAATAAACTCGTGAGGAGACATTTCTCCCCTCCTTAGAAACAATGTTCAAAGGGGTCGGGTTTCGGAGTACGCGGACCTTGCAAGAGTCGGCACCCGGGATCGGCGATATGAAAATCAAATTAATTAATGTTTCAGAACTGTCATACCAAGATGATGGTATCGACTGAATCTCCCTGGTTACTCCAAGAGGATTCCATTCCTTTCCATCATCATAGAAGATCATGGCAATTAGAAACCTAGGATCAATCAAGGAGATTCAATCCAGAAATTCATTTGGTATGACAGTTCTACAACGAGGACTTGGTCAGACATGCCTCCAGGCCAAGCTTGCGAACCAGCCTAGCATGTTTGA